ACTTATTCGTGAGTATTGACACATTATTTAAGTATGGAGAAGAACATTAGGAGAATAATACTGGGATGAGAATCGAAAATAAAGTCGCCACGATGTGATGCTGCTCACAGAGACGTATGCCGTGCACGTAGGACGGTAACAGCTAACAATAAGCTAGTTTCTCTGATAATGACGACGGTAATTCGCAAAGACGGGACGGAAATTGACGTACGTGGATGATTTGCGAATGTTGTCCATGCGGCTAGCACATTGAGAAAGTTGTTGAATTGAGAGAGAGAGAAACACGTGTTTACAAGTGCTACGGTGCTTCGCGATTGCCCTCCTCAAGGGAAACTTCAGTGGGCCTGGAACAGTCCCTGCATGCTTCAAACACATTTCTGTGAAATTGGAACATATGTTGTGTAAACACTGAAATCATATGCAGGCTGTGTCTGCTGGAGGCGGCACACAACGCCGAACTCACAGATCGGCTACTTTGATGCTGGAACAGCTGCCTAAATATCTTGCTTAATTATAGGGAGAATTTCGTAATACGCCATAGCACAGAATGGGCCATTAGGTGTGTCTTTCTTAAGATGCAGGTTTTTGCCAAGAATACTTATATGTGGCTGGCTTGGCTTGATATATCAACCGCCCTACCCCCCCTCCCACCCCCCAACCCCCCCCCCCCCCCCCCCATTTCTTGGGAGTTTGGGATAGAATATGTCCGAAGTACTCCGAGTTTAAAAGAGCCGACTATATTGAGGATCGTGTGGTCAGGTTGTGTGTGACTTGGCATATTGCATGGTATCGAACCCAAACGGTTTCCATCGTTGCTCATGTTATCAGCCACTGGTTTTGTCTGATTAACGCCATATTAGAGTGAAGGAGTTGGGTTTAACGCCGCTTTGAACAGTATTCCAGTTAAATCACGGCGTGTCAGCTTGATGTTGGCGCAGAACAGGTAATGCAGGTCTTAGACGTTTACCGTTTTGGTGAAACCCACGAGCACGGGTATGGTGCTGACAAACCTAGAAACATAAACGGGGTGTGGGGAATAGAACAAAGGCGACTTAATGGTGGTCAGACTCAGTGACTTGGTTGATTGCGTGTCATCATTCCCTGTGAGCGTGGATTGATGCTCATAATATCATTCACTGGATTGTCTGGTCCAGACTCGATTATGTACAGGCTACTGTCGTGTGGCTGGAATATTGATGAGTGCGGCGTAAAACACAACTGCAACCATAACATATGACCAATCTATAATGCAAAGAAGGTTTTAAGGATAAATAGAATATCATAGAGATAATATTATGTACAGACCAAATATGTACACCATATCTTATTCCACAAGAGATGCACCTCCTCCCCCCCCACCCTCCTCCCCCCACCCCCCTCCACCCCCACCCCCCACCCCCCCCACCCCCCACCCCACCACCCGCCCTCCAGGAATTCAATTTGCATCGCACTAAAATAAATCAACAATAAACTGTTTTGAGATTTCACGCTTTGAATCTAGAATAGGACGTGTAAAATTTATGAATGTTTAAAATATCAAATATATCATAAAACTTTCTTCCTGAATGCAATAAAATATACATATATATTACATTCTGTGACGTCATGCTGATGTAGTGTTAAAATAGGCTGATAAAACGTTGTTGTTAATATGAGACGCGCATAAACATTTCAGCAGTTATAAAACATATGTACATCCCACAGCGTTACAGTAATGGTGGGATAGTTTAATGGTTAAGATTTCGCTCGTCACATCGAAGATCAATTTTCGACTCCAAAAGTGAGTACAGAATGCAAGGCCCAACAATGATATTGCTGGAATATTGTCAGCAGTGAAAACTTACTCACTCATTCACGCGTTATAAGAATGTTTTCTCAATTCCGCATCTGATACCATATTGTTTATTTCCATACAAGCGTTTTACCATTTTGGGGTTGCCGTTTTTGGAACCATTATGTGATAACGAGTTGCATCGGATGAGTCGATTATTCGTCTGTGTCGAACTTCTTAATCCCAAATGGTAAATGCAGGTGCAAAATTCCTTTGATATGTCGAAATGAGAATGGGTGCAAGGATGTCCACATCCACCAATTTCAAAATAAACATTAATTTAAAAAATATTTTTATAACAAATAACTAAGCAGTATTTCATGTTTAACACGAACGTGTCTATTTTGTAGCTAACTTTGGATAGTATTCCTTGCGCGGTGTGAAACTGTTCCCGAAATTTCTCTTTGCTGGGTCTCATCGTGTTCGATAGATAGCTGAGTTGAAATGGGGTTTAACGTCGCGTTCAAGATTATTGCACTTATACAGCGACGTGCATGCACGTGTGTGTGTGCGTGCGTGCGTGCGTGCGTGCGTGCGTGCGTGCGTGCGTGGGTGTGTGTGTGTGTGTGTGTGTGTGTGTGTGTGACTGTTTGTACTAGTCCCGAGGAATGCCCAATTTATAGTGCTAGCCCACTGAAATACCATGCCACTTTTTAACATGAATACGTACCTCACTCAGACACAGTATACTGACTCCGAGTCGACCAGTTTTATGCCCTTAATGCCGCACGCCAGACAGGGTAACAACAAGTAACATATTTTAAAGTGTTTTGGTATGACGCAGCCGGGGATCGAACCAAGGACCTTCCGTTCTCCGGGCGGACGTTCTACCACTAGACCATGGAGGCGACAGAAAATTACAAATATATAATACGTTTGTGTGTGTATGTGAGTGTGTGTTTGCGTGCATGTTTGTATATGTGTATGTGTGTTTGTGCGTGTGTGTTTGCGTGTGTTGTTATAAGTACATATTACTGGACATTCCATGTGCTTGTCATGCAAAAAATCAGTCACCCATGGAGAAATATTTATTACATGAATAAATATACATTTACTCAGTAGGTAGTGTAAAATTTTATAATTATGCGTGTATTTCAGTTTCAAAATTTGAAGCCCCCCACAACCTCTGGTTACTCTGCATGAGAGTAGGTTAACTGCTTTCAATTTGCATAGCTCGCCATGCTTGTATTATAAAGCTGGTATCATGTGGAGAAATATATGTTTTGCTGTCGGCTTTTCACTGTTATATCATTTCATATGCTATTAATTTTGCTTGAAACACCCATGGTTACAATCATAAAATTATAAAAAATGATGTTTTGTACGATAGATTTTGTATCATAAAAAAAAGAATAAATATGTCATATATTAGCATAATAATATATCCAGAAATGAAAAATATTTAAAATCATCTTCATATGTAAGTGAAATGAGATGAAAGAGTTTGGAAGTTTCAAGATTCACCGTCAGTGTTTCCAAAGTACACAACCTATTTCACGTGGCCTTAATTACTATGCTTGCAATAGACATGTGAAATCTATAACACATTTGAAATGTACACACGCGGTTACTGCCGAAGGCCACGCTAACTACGATCCATAGCATGTCGTTACTGAAAAGCAACACAGACCTAGGACATCAAAGGCATTAATAATTACCGATCAATACTATGTAAATGTATCCATTCAAATTATGAACAGCAAACAAACGGGTATATGAATGCTTTTGATACTATTAATACTATCTTCCAGCGTGGCATAATCACACGAAAGAGGTAAAACTCGGTGTTCAAACAAATGCAACTGCAGATTTGGAAATCCAAATAAAAAAGTCCTTTCATTTTGAAGTAACGTATTTACATATACTGAGCTACTTAGAAAAATTCAACTTTAATTTTAGGCAACTTCCCCACGGCGAATTAAGCAAACTAGCTTCAATTTATTAAGACGGTATGCTAGTCACAAAAGAATATCGGCAACATCAAAGATCTCATTAATTGCCAATCTCCCTTTAATGAGTGGCGTGGTTTCGTTAGGGTGATTATCGCTGAATGGAACCGAGAAATCCTAATTTTTGGGATTGAGTTATAAAGATCAGCTCATTAGTATATACAACACATGAACGCAACTGGATCTGGCGTTGGAGGGGGTAGTATGGCCCCAGGGCTGGGCTCCGACAAGTATTACAAATATTCTTTGAAGAACAACTAGCTTTTAATATTAATTAATCACATTGCATAGCGTCGGTTTGTGGCGTACATATATTTCACAGTTGGATATCAGAATCGCTGCATGAAACTTGGTGTGGTATTGCACGAAACACCGGCTTCATCTGAGAAAATAAGATGCAAATCTGACATCAAAGGGAGCTAATTTATTTATATGATAATTTCATATTATTAGGTATGTAACTAGCATGCATCATAATGGATGGATAATGTGGCATGTGTTAGTACTTGATTTAATTACCTGTCTAGATTAGTGTTTTCTAACAGCCTATAGCTATGTTTTGGCCATGGAGCCATAAAAGATATGTACAATATACCCGCGAATACCGTGATTATACCTCAGTGGGAAGATATAGAGATATAGTGGATGCGTAGAGGGATGCCCTCGTGGTGGCATAAAGTGTGGCGGAGGTGGTGTCGTGTCGTGGATGCGTAGAGGGGTGCCCTCGTGGTGGTATAAAGTGTGGTGGAGGTGGTGTCGTGTCGTGGATGCGTAGAGGGGTGCCCTCGTGGTGGTATAAAGTGTGGTGGAGGTGGTGTCGTGTCGTGGATGCGTAGAGGGATGCCCTCGTGGTGGCATAAAGTGTGGCGGAGGTGGTGTCGTGTCGTGGATGCGTAGAGGGGTGCCCTCGTGGTGGTATAAAGTGTGGTGGAGGTGGTGTCGTGTCGTGGATGCGTAGAGGGGTGCCCTCGTGGTGGCATAAAGTGTGGTGGAGGTGGTGTCGTGTCGTGGATGCGTAGAGGGGAGACCTCGTGGTGGCATAAAGTGTGGTGGAGGTGGTGGTGTGTCGTGGCGTGGATGCGTAGAGGGGAGCCCTCGTGGTGGCATGAAGGGTTAGTGGAGGTGGTGTCGTGGCGTGGACGCGCAGAGGGGAGCCCTTGGAGTGACATGGAGGTGGTGGAGAGGCGTGTCGTGTCGTGGCGTGGGTGCGTAGAGAGGTGCTACCGTGGTGGCATGGAGGGTTGGTGGCTTGGCGTGGCGTGGCGTGGCGTGGCGTTGGGCGTAGAAGGGTGCCCCCGTGGTGGCATGGAAGATTGGTGGTTGAGCGTCGTGGGGTGGCGTGGCGTGGAGGCGTAAAGGGGTGCCCCTATGATGGCATGGAGGGTTGGTGGCTTGGCGTGGCATGGCGTGGAGGCGCAGAAGGATGCCCCCGTGATGGCAAAGGTGGTGGGGTAGTGGCGTGGCGTGTCGTGGGGTGGCGGGGCGTTGCGTGGAGGCGTAGAAGGGTACCCCGTGATGGCATGGAGGGTTGGTGGAAGTGGTGGTGGAGTGGCGTGGCGTGGCGTGGCGTGGCGTGGAGGCGTAGAAAGGTGCTGCCGTAGTGGCAAGGAGAGTGGTTTAGGTGGTGGATGACAGTAACAGAAAAATACTCGATTTTTCACATTTAGAACTCTCGAACGAAGTAGCCTGGATGAAGGTGGATTACAAGATGTAGTCTTTGACAATTAGACAAACAGGCACCACGACGTTTGCACCACCACCTCCGATGGTATCAGCATGTCCAAACACAACAACGTCACACCAAGTCAGAGGGGATACGCACACTTTCACAGCACAAACTTAAGATCACACATGTCTAAGATTTTTGCTTGGAATAAACTCTCTTTGAAGTCGATATATGATAATTCCTGAAAAACTAGAAGCCGTCTTTAGGAGTAGTGTGTTGAGATGGAGACACTTGAACACTGTCTGGGGAGCACACGTGCATGTACGAGACAGAGACCGACGCCTCATTGGCTAACTTACACGCATGGCTGCTGACGCATGCGCTGTATTGTATATTTATAGAATGAATGAAATTCAAAACGCGATTGCTTGAAAAAACTTGACAATTTTAACTGCATGAGTAGATGGGTACTCACAAGCTATTTATCGGTAAATCACAGCCCTACAATGGAATGCTTGGATGTTAGAAAACCAGGGGACTTTTTTGTGTGTCAGTTAACGTAATTAAATAATCAAAATATGAATAAGTATAGTATCATAGTTAAAAGTCGGAACCCGTATAATATGAACAGCAGTAAAAGTTGGAAGTGAACAAAAGCGAATTTGGATTATACTCGCCGTTAAGGCCCTTTCTCCTAGTGTGAAGTACTAAAAGTTTAAGTATATCCTTCATGTGAAGTGTTTTGAATGTTGGAATTATTTATAGGACATTTTATTCCCTCGTTTCTTCAGTCGATTAGACAAACTCATAAAGGATCACTAACAATTCTAAGATGCTCCAAACACACTCCATTTTCACAAATCATGAATATAATGGGACAAAGCCCTGTGCAGTTAGGCGCTCGAATGTCTGCACTAAAACCTCAATACTCTACCCAGTCCTTAACCGATATATTGCCACGGAACCGGTTTGTTGGTAAGGAAATGATCATTGCATTAAGTTTTTGTTCCTTTTTGAATAGGCTGGAACATTAAACTATTTGGAAGCTGGAAATTACCATTCCTTTGATAAAATACAACGCGTTGTCAAAGAACGACGCCAATAATCATGTCTCGGTGTCCTGGCGTTGGGTGTCAAGAAAACAAATACTAGACTCGGATAATAAAATAAGCATATAGATGTTGAATATAATCATAATTGTCCCCATTTATTTACTTTTACCTTTATTATTAATAACGTTATAGTAGGGGGGCGCATAGTACTGACACAACTTACGCTTAGAAAAATATATAGTTTTGACAGAAACAAACAACTACAGTTACATTAAACTACGGTTATAACGAATTCAGAGGGACCACTAATTTAAGTTCGTAGTTAGTTCGTTATAAGCATATATACAACATATATGCAACAAATGACCGAGACTACAAATAAGTTCGTTATATCGGTAAGTTCGTTATAAGCGTGTTCGTTATAAACGTAGTTTACTGTATTTTTAAAAGGGGCCCCAGTGCGACTAAAGCATGACAAGGGCTGGGCGGAAGGGAAAATAATGTGGTTCTCGGACTATGAGTCAGCCTAGGTACTGACAATGCTCAAAGTTTGTTCAAATGTAATAATTATAAAAAATGGTCAGTCAAACGTTGGGTGCCTATGTCGCGGCCCGCGATAGGATTCGAATCACGGACTTTCTGATCTGAGACGGAGCCACACGATTTTGAGGTTAATCCCGTCAGCATGTTGGACGCCTTGATAACTTTCTGTCCGAAGTAACCATTTCTGATGGTTCTAAAAAAATAACTGCCTGACACAAAGACAGTGTGCATATGAACATTGGATTTGACCCAAACATTACCAACGTTATCAAACGTGACAAGGCCAAAAACAGTCACAGAAACAGTGTAAACTTAAGGTCAAAAACACAGCTTTCTTACCCGTAAGAAATACATCACCATCGACTAACCAATTTTTAAAACTTTTAGACCCCATCAAACATGGGTGTATACATTCTTTTGCCCGGCAATTTACACAGACGGCAAATTTATGAATGATTTACGGTAATATGTATTAGGTCCAAACGATGCCCATTTTATTTTTGAGTAACCTTCCAATTGCCAGGCGGATTGTATGGGATTATGTAAGGTTGATTGCCATAACTGTTACCTGCTTTTTAAAAGTGGAACAGCCCTACACAAATGACAGAGAACCAAAATATGAGGTATTTGGGGCAATGCTTTTATATATATATATTTATATTAATAACAAATTTAAACATAACAGACATTTTGCCATTAATGAGACATGATATTATCATATCATATCATTATCTACATTATATCAATATATATATAATTTTATATAAATCACAGTTCATAACAAATCGGTCCATAACAGTTTCTTTGGCCGCTTTGTTCATATACGTTAGAGAAACTGTCCATCTCTCATCTCTCATGATAGTTTCCATGGCCTTCGCTATTGCACATCTTGACTAAAGGAGATCTATACGACAGATAGCGGATCTAACTGCAATTCTTGTTCTAACCGACCCCGATTGACTAAGATTGATGGACTTATATATGTACGTGCGTGTGTGCGTGTGTGCGTGTGTGGCTGCTTGTACTAGTCCAGACTAATGCCGATTGTATAGTGCTAGCCCACTGAAATACCATGCCGCAGATTAACATGAATACCCCACTCAGACACAGTATATGGACTCCGAGCCGACCATCCTTGTTTAACCCCCCTTAATGCCTAGCACCAGGCAAGGAAACAACGTATTTTGGTATGACGCGATTGGGGATCGAACCCCGGACCCTCCGCTCTCCAAGTTGACGCTCTACTACTAGACCACGAAACCGGCCCGCTATTTGATGCACGCGCTATTGAAGCTTATTAATTGATTCTATCCTCTACCTTCGCTATATTCACCATCGATTATGTTGACTGTACTATAATTATTAATCAATAAACTGCTTCGTCAATATATTTACCCTGTTGCCAATATAATACAACATGTTTTAGGCTTATTTAAGTTGCAAACGCGCTTAAATGTTAGAAAAAAACACCGCACAAGGACAAATTTGAAAGCACTCACGTGACATTAATAAGCCTTCCCAGATTAGAATAGCTTTTCGACCATAATAAACACAATATCCTCACGCGAAATACGCACTTCCGTGTAGGGTTGTTCAAATCAGAGGTATGCCATGTGATTTTAAGTCATATAATTGTCTCTCGCGTTTTGCTCTCCCTACATGTTGAGAACAAAGAGATATTATCTGTAGGATACAAGTAGAAGAGGAAACGGCGTTTGTGAGATTGTCGCTCTCAAAGCCAGAGCTTTTCCGAACACTTTCCGCCATTAAGCAGGTCGTGAGGTGGTCTATATTTCGTGCATAGGGTCAAAAGGCATTGGATGGTCTAGCGTTCAGTGCCCCGGGCACGTTTACATAGCAACATCACACATGGTGTAGGACAGAGAACAAATATTTATGAAAACTAACGATTGTCAAACAAAGGAAACATTAAAGTCAAACGATACTTTGAGCATAAAAAAAGCATATACCCCCTCTCTCTCTTCCGCCCCCTCTCTCTCTTTCCCTGTTTCTGTCTTTTCTTTATTTCTGTTTTTCTCGTTTTCTCTCTCTTTCTGTTTCTCTCTCTTTTTCTACCTTTCTCTCTATTTCTGTTTTTCTCTCTCTATTTCTCCCTCTCTTCCTCTCTATCTTTCTTTCTCCATTTTACTATCTCTCTATTTCTGTTTCTCCTTTCTTTCTCTCTTTTTTCTTTTTCCCTCTCTTTATTTCTATTTCTCTCTCTTCCTCTCTCTCTCACTTTATCTTTTCCTCTATGTTTTTCTGTTTCTCCATCTCGATTTCTGCCCCCCCCCCCCCCCCCCCCCCCCCCCCCACACACACACACACACACCCGTGTCTCTCTATTTCCCCCTTTCTCTTTCTGTTTCTCACTCTCTCTATTCCTGTTCCTCTCCATGTTTCTCTCTCTAGTCAGTGTAGGTAACCAAAACCATATTACTAATATCGAAGTTATATTCCCTCTCATCTGTCAGTGTACTCTACACTGATAGCCGGTTATCTACAAGACGATTGCGTCGAGCTGTTGTGTGTTGACATGGTTCTACCCAATACTCTGAAATGTACACAGTCGACAACAGATGTTCCTAATTCACATATAGCATAATTACGTTTGTAATTTACAGTTCACCATTAGCAGTAAGCTTGATATTGATACATAGAAATAACCAGCAATAAACCATGCAAGCTCAATGTATAGTACTGTCTCGTTAGAATGCACACATATTACAACGGATGCCGTATAAAAACAATCCCACACAGCTTTTATAATCAATTTCACAGTTCTAATTAAGTCGAGGAACATAATTATGCTCGATATCTTTATTGCAGATATCAATTAAGATATGGAACATGTGTTGTTTAATGATTATTCCGGAACACTAGCGGTTAGTATCGGCGGACTATTGAATATCTTTACTGCGCATGCGCTCGTTTAGCATTCGCAATGGCGGCAACATGTGTGAACTCTTGTGGCGTCTGGGAATGGAGACGGTTATGTAATGAAATTTGGGATGTTCTGATGAAAACAATGAATATCACATGCTTCGTCTTACCATCTGGGCCGTAGGAAATGGATGGATACATTTCATACACTATCACAAGTTCATTATGAAAATGATTCTTATTATGAATGCAGTTTCCTTCCTAATAACTGCTTAAAAGACGTTTACCCATGTGGTATAAATTGGTTCGTTTATGAGAATAGACTTATTTTTAATTTTTGTCTGGATTATATGAAAGGAAACGGAAGGAACATGCAGTACACGACCGAGTGAAGATTGTGTACAGTCAGCTGGGGGGCTAAGTGTGTTTACCTATCCCCGTGAGGATCACCGGTAGGAATTGGTCCCCAGTACTCTGTGCTGGTCTTAAGAATCGGCATAAAGGATAGTGAGTGAGTGAGTGAGTTGGGTTTAACGCCGCTTTTAACAGTATTCGAGTTACATCACGGCGTGTCAGCTTAATGTGGGAGGAAAGCCCGAAGTGATTCAGGTCTCAGACGTTTACCACTTCGATGAACCCCACGAGCACGGGTATGGTGCTGACATACCTAGAAACATAATCGGGGCGAACCGGGATTCGAACCCACACTCATAGGTTACTGACGTGCCCATGTGACGCAACTCTGCCCAGCAAATTGCGGCGCCTTAGACGACTGGGCCACCCGTGCTCCCCTTAATGGATAGAGTCGTCAGGTTCGGTGACTTTGTTGCACGTCATCGTTACCCGTTGTCGTGCTCATGATGTCAATCACTGGATTATTTCTCACA